GAGAGAGAGAGAGAGAGAGAGAGAGAGAGACAGAGACAGAGCTCTCGTAGATCGCCATCATCTTTGTCATCGCCATCGAGCTGCTGAAGAGAGATAGAGTTGCGATCATCGTCGTCATGGCCATTGAGGGAGCGCCAAGTAACACGCCACGTCAGCGCTGAGCCATCGAAATCAAGCAAGTCCACCTCAGCGTGCCCAGCGCGCATGCGCCCGTACTTGATTACATCTGCGCCACGTAGCCCCCTCGCCACGTAGTCCTATCGCAGAGAGAGAGAGAGAGAGAGAGAGAGAGAGAGAGAGAGAGAGAGAGAGAGAGAGAGAGAGAGAGACGTAGCCCCCTCGCCACATCGCCCTATCGCTGAAGGATAGAAAGAGAGAGACGTAGCCTCCTCGCCACGTGACCCTGTTGCGGAGAGGGACATAGAGAGAGAGACATACCTGAATAGTCTTCGCCACGTCGCCCTATCTCGGAGAGAGACAAAGAGACACAGAGAGAGAGGGAGAAAGAGCATACGATGCTCCCGCGCGCGCGCGAGAGAGAGAGAGAGACAGAGACAGAGGCAGAGAGAGAGAGACAGAGAGAGAGAGAGAAAGAGCATACGCCCCTCGCGCATGCTCCCGCGCACGCGCGCGCACGCGCGCGCGAGAGAGAGAGAGAGAGAGAGAGAGAGAGAGAGAGAGAGAGAAAAAAAAAAAGATTTGTGACATTGCAATTTGTCCATATGTACATAGCGATGACATTTGTTGACGACATTCTCATCTCCTTCCCCTCTACGTCTCATTCCCCTTCTCCTCATCCGTGTATGATCTTAGCCTCGCTTTTTCTTCCTGTGTGCAGCGCCAGGCCCCTCACACTATGCGATGATGATGATGTATGTTCCATCTGCATTTCGATCCTATCTATCCTACTATGACCAACTAATGTGTGTGTGATTAATTGACTGATTTTGTGTGTGTGTGTGTGTGTGTGTGTGTGTGTGTGTGTGTGTGTGTGTGTGTGTGTGTGTGTGTGTGTCTCTATATGTGTGTGTGTGTGTGTGTGTGTGTGCGGGGGGGAGGGGAGGGAGGACACCTCTCCCACCAATCAGTCAATCAATCAATCAATGAATCAACAAATCAATCAATCGATTGATTGACGGATCGATCGATCAATCAATCGATTGAGCACGGTAGATACACAGTTCCAGAGAGAGAGAGAGAGAATCGAGACCAGGATTGCACATCTCGAACGTCGGGATCAATATCGGGGTCGGGATCGCGACGATCAATCGATTCAGTCGATTGATATCAGGGTTGAGGTCGGGATATCGGGGTCAGGATGAATATCGGGGTCGGGATCTTGATATGTCAAGATCGTATAAAATCAATCGATCCGAAATGATCTTGATATGTCAAGATCCTATTGAATCAATCGATTCGAAAGGATCTTGGTACGTCAAGATAGACAGTTTGAACTGTCTATCTCGACATATCAAGATCTTTTGGAATCGATTGATTCAATAGCATCTTGACATATCAAGATCATTTCGGATCGATTGATTCGTTGTGTGTGTGCACACGCAGGGGAGGCGACCCCCCTGGCAACCAATCAATCAATCAGTAAAGAGCGGGGGAGGCCCACGGGAGGCGACCCCCCCGACAACCAATCAATCAATCAGTAACTGTGTGTGTGTGTGTGTGTGTGTGTGTGTGTGTGTGTGTGTGTGTGTGTGTGTGTGTGTGTGTGTGTGTG